TACTTGTTTATATATATATATATATATATATATATATATATATATATATATAGGAATATATATATACTTGTTTATATATATATATATATATATATATATATAGGATCAGGGAAATGCACTCGTGTATGTGCATATATGTAGGTATGTGTGTTCTCGGGGAACATATATCAATTATCCATCTTATCAACGTAACGCCAGAAGCCTTGTCATTATCGGCATGCCGGAAGGGACAAGCTTGCACCAATATATACGTATACCATGTTATGCTGCTTCGTAGTTTCGTGAATTACGATGAACTAATGACATTTGTGTGCGTTAAGCACATTACACGCGATATACATGTGTTCCGAATGGCGTGTTTCCGGCAACGCTACGGCAGCTAAAGTTGGGATAAATTAACGATGAATGTCGCTCAAATATCCATGAAATTGAACGTTGATGTAACATGTATTAAGATGAGATGATAATTTCAGTGAAAATATTTCTAAATTAAATCAATAATGATTAACATATTATACTAGCTATTAACTCGTATACAGCTCATTTGTGTCCCACTAATATATGTTATAAATATTAGGTTATATAATTGAAGGTATATAATTGTAGGTATGATTTGATAAAACCAAATGAAATTTCTATATTGATTCATGGAATATTAATTGTTATTAGAAATGGAACATCATTATAACAAATTAAATTATGAATGCATCTGACAAAAATTCTTTTAGTACTAAAATAAAAAATTTTAATTATGTTATATATTTAAATAAAACTTTAAATAAAATGTGAACTTTAAATAAAACTTGAATCAACATAGCCAATTTCATTAAACGAACAAAACAAATTTAAAATCCTTTACCAATTTAAGGGCAAATGAAAGAACAACCACCATTGTCCATTGTCTACTAGGATATTGTATAAACAATGAGTTCATGCTTTATTTTCTTTGATGAGAGATTAAATATATATTTGAATATGACCCATAATTGCCCATATTAAATTTAAATCATTTGCAATTATTCAAAATACGATTCTGCTCCAGTTTTTGGAAATATAGGATAATCTACAAATGTTTAAAAAAATTAAAATGAAATACATACTGAAATATCGCAAAAACAATTAATAAATTATATATTGTTATAGTAAATGAATAGAAATAGTAATACTTAATTCAAGTTTGATGTAAGACCATTGAATATTGAAATAAACAAAAAGAAATCACTGCATACCACGTAAGAAAAATTAAAATTAAACAAAATTCTAATGTTTTATAATAAATATAGAATCAACATTCATACAGTTTCGATAAAATCGCAAGAAAAGATTTGTATTTAGTTCTTGGATGTAGCAGCACTGACATTTACACACGAGTTGCGCAAAATTACATTAACGCCTGCGTGCGCACATGCTTCCACGTAAGTGACAGACACTGGACAACATAACCTCTTCAACATCCTTGTAATTGCATGTTATTTGATAATTCTTAAGTTACAGTCAGAAAAATTTGAATCAGAAGTGCGTTAAAAATGGTGTCTGTTTTGAATACGGTTGACACTGGTCATGAAGATATGATTCATGATGCAGAAATGGATTATTACGGTTTGAGGTTAGCAACTTGTTCCAGTGACAATTCGGTTAAAATCTTTGATTTGAAAAATGGATCACAAAGTTTAGTAGCTGATCTTAAGGGTCATGTTGGACCTGTATGGCAGGTTACTTGGGCACATCCTAAATTTGGGAATCTTCTAGCGTCTTGTAGTTACGATCGGTATGTTACAATTTATAAAAATTCTGTGATATTTAAAATATTTCTTTTTCACACTAACTGATATATTCGGGCAAATTATTTTGTTTTAACATT